CATCACATCTTGTCATAGGGTTATTCTCAGAGGATATTGGATGTCCTTATATCTTCTATAGAAGTGCAGTATTTAAACTCTTCATTTTACTATTCTTCAGTATTCTACCCTATTTCTTTAATTCTAAATCTTCTTAAATTCCATGCAAACCCATTCCCTTTCATTCTTTATGCTAATGTCCTATTATTGTTCCATACTCTCCTTCAACCTCTGAAACACCTATCAGTTCTTTAATACATCGTCTTCCTTTCAAATGACACCTGCCTGCCTTTAAATTCATCAGTTTCTTCCTTATGTTTCAGCTATATTTCTGTCAATCATACAAGATCAATCTTTCTTGAATTTAAATTATTACAGGAAATTCTATGTAAGCGAAATGTAAAAGTCTAGCTGGAAGTTGACCAGGTCCATACCCCATTATTGGCAACAAAACAAAAATTAAATTTAAATGCTCTGATTTATCACCATTTGCACTTTTTTGAACCATGTGGATGTATAATTGAATATTCAAAAAAGTAATGAGTAAAATTTACCTTAAATAATGACAATAGAAGTCTTACTTTCAGCTTTCCATTCACAGTTGGTTTGATATGTTTCCTTGAGTTCTGAGGCTTTCAGAAGATGAAACATTCATCAGGTAGCCCTGCCATGTTTTCTGTGCACACAGTGAAGAGGAGGCTGCTGAGAACTCAAGGAGTGCACTCTAGACAGATAAGTTTGAATTGGGGCATAATGTGCTCAGAGGAGAGGGTGCTAACCTGGTTTTTCTTTAAGACCTTTGGAATCATAGTGAGGAGACTTTGGGTTATGACTCAATTTGATAAACTGACCAAATACTGTATTACCTCCGTGTCTAAAGCAAAAGGGTTTTGTCAGGTTTAAAATGCTTAAAGGAGTTTTTAATCTATATTTTTAGGTAAAGTTACAGTATTAGAAAATTTCCACTGAAAATTTTTAGTCTTGTGCTCCCTCTTGAATTTTTCACGGTCATTACTGCATCTCACGTTACCTAGTGGAAAAGTTTAGCTTTTTGTTTTGTTTTGTTTTTTAAAAAGGTGTGAATACCTCTATTTGACTTACTTCTGTTCACAGTTTCTTAAAGAAATTTCAGGGAAGTTTACAGAGGCCCCAATCTTGTGATGGTATTGCCACCAAAACCAATTAATTTGGGATCTCTTTAAAAGAAAATTCTCCTAGCACCTGAAAGAGTCATCTGCAGTAAACAAAAATTCTATTCTACTTCTCTGAGCCCATGTCACAGGCTGAATTACTAGTTTCATTGGTCATAAGCTGTCGTTTCTGTTGGGTGTATTTTACTGTGCAATGTAACAGAAAATTTTTCGTTAAACCAGTTTTGTAGTTCCTACTCTGAAGTAGAAGCAGAGTGCAAATTTGAATGTGGAAGACAGTGAGGAACTGCGCTCTGACTAGAGTAATCAATGGAAGAACATCCTTAAAGCTTTTCTTCTGTAACAAGGGCAAACTCAGCTAAAAAGTTTGTTTAAGTCCTGCTTGGCATAGCAAGAACCTTTAAACTTGATCTATCTGTGAGTATCTATGAATATACCTGACTCATCACCACAGTACCTTTCAACTCTGCCCTGCTAAGCTCAACTACTTTTCCTGCCTTCTACAGATATTTAAAATTCTGTAAGCCTTCTGGTAAAGGCTATAGGGTCTATATACTTAATATTATTTAATAGCACAGGAATTTTATAGCTCGGATCTACAAAATAAAATGGAGGAATTTTTCTTTGTATAGTCTAAATCTCTTTGTAGCCTGTATGTGGTCATGTCATATTTGTAAGTGCCATATTTGTATGTGAGCTTTTATTTTCAAGCAGCAATTACATCAGAGCAGAATCATTTTTAAAAATAATAAAAAGAACAGCAACAAAAGAAGTAACAAAAAAAAAAATGTCCTTCATATTCTTCATATGAGATTAGGCAAATCAGGGAAATTCTGTGCCAGCAATACTATTCATTCTAATTTTTCTCTGCGTAATTTAGAAGAGTACAAGCGTCTTGTTATTCATAAAGAGCTATCCTTTTGCCCGTATTCTTACCCTCCATTATCTCCAATGCCAAACAGGGCTATTGTTACATATTATGTAAATTTTTCTCATAGAGCAGTAAATGATTCTATTGAGTGACTACACTAATTTGATTAGTTCTATTTCCATGTTATTGCAACTTTAATGTTCTTATTGTATGTACTATACTTTCAGGTATCAGTTTTTCTTACCTTCATAACTTATCTTTGATGTCTCATTTTGTCATATATAGTTTTGTACTTAAAAACCTATACAAAGGATTGACAGTTTAATCATTTCAGTGTATTTTAAGGTAGTTTTCAGTGAACTAAATTTGTTATAATGTGTGGTGTTAACTCTCTCACTGTGAGGTGGGAAGCTTCTTGCCTGTCTTACAGTATTCAGCTGCCAGAGTTTTCCTGGATTCCTGACTTAACTTCCTAGACCCAGAGAGGGGCCTCCCAGTGCCTGGTCTCTGAATCTTGGCTCCTACCTTTACATTTTGCCTTGCTCCTTGAATAATGTGGTCCTTGGGGACCTACTCCTGCCCTTCAGAGTGACAGTGCTTTTACCCCTGACAACTGGTCGGTGCTAACTTACTAGGATGCCTGCAAAGTGGGGAAAACTATTAAGATCAGCACCATCTAGTCTGCCTTGCTCTCTCTGTCTGACTTGTGTATCATTCTTGAATCTCTTGGTCTGTTCTGTTGATTTAATTTCATTCAAAAAGTATTTTTTGGAGTCTCTACTAGAGAAGTGAAACTTCGCACACACCCTTGAACAAAGTCCAGTCCTCCTCTATCTGGAAATATCATCTCTTTATCTGCGTGATCAGCTTTGGGAGATATGCATTTGGAGAAATGAGGAAGCAAGGATCACCTTCCTAGCTAAGGAAATAATTGACCAAGATGACATAGGTGTTTTTGTTCTCTTACTATACTAATGCGTGGTTCATGCATTAGCACGGTGTTTGACATGTAAGTACAAAATTATCATATCTGTAATAGCCATTTGGAGCCCTGGTGGCACAGTGGTTAAGAGCTCAGGCTGCTAACCAAAAGGTCAGCAGTTCAAATCCACCAGCCACTCCTTAGAAACCCTATGGGGCAGTTCTGCTTGGTCTTACAGGGTCGCTATGAGTTAGAATCGACTCGATGACAACAGGTTTGGTTTTCTGGTTTTAAAATGGCATTTGAGTTCCATATCTCCTAGCTGAAGAGCTAAGACATGAAACTCCAGCTGACTGTTTAAGGCAGCAGATATATCTGAGTAGAAAAGTCCGTAAGTTCAGAGGGTAGGGAGATGACTGTGGTCCAGAGTATTTGGCAAAGGAATAGGAACTACTTGAGGAGAATCCAATAATACAAATCCTAACACTTTGTGCCTTTCTGATTAAAACTTAACTCTGAATACCAAAGATCCTAATAATAGAAAACTGTTAACTTCTCTTTGAGCAAGTATAGCTGTCCTGCTCTCCTGACAGTTTCTCTTCTCCCCCATTTAGATTATAAATGCATTGAGGGCTGGGACGATGTCTTCCTTATCCTTACCTTGTAATTCCCTAAGGATAAGACTGGCCTGATTCCTACATTGTAATCTAATCACTTACTAAGAGGTCCCTGTATTTTCTGAAGGTGATGGATTAGCCTTTCAAGCACCCCGGCCAAAACAGTGCTGGTTGTCTTTGGCATTCCCATGACCCGCATTCTTCTGAACTTTATTTGTTTCCAACTAGTTATGCTTCTGCTTATTTTCCCTGGTCACCCCATTGCCATAGCATATTAAGTATACTTTTAAGAAGATGTTGACATCCCTTAAAATATAGGCCTTTATTTGTGACAGCACATATGCATAAACTGGCAGATGTGCACATTGGCAAGATTGACCAAGTACAAAGAAGCCTTAATCAAGAGCACACAAGTTAATTCTAAAATCTGTCAAGGTAATATAACCTTACTTTTTAATTCAGTAAATGTTTTTAATCACTATGTTTAAACTCAGTTAATATAATAAAACTTTACTCAAATTCAGTTGAACTCACTTTTTTTCAATTCACTAAAAACATTTCATTCTACTATTGTCTTTAGACCGTTAATGAACCTTTTCTGTGTGATTTTATAGATGGACTGGTTTCAGTATTTGGGCCTACATGTAGACATAGATAGAGACATGTTGTTGTTGTTATTGTTGTTGTTAGGTGCCTTCGAGTCTGTTCCGGCTCATAGTGACCCTATGTAGAACAGAACGAAACACTGCCCAGTCCTTTGCCATCTTCACAGTCATTGTTATCCTTGAGCCTATTGTTGCAGCCACTGTGTCAGTCCATCTCGTTGAGGGTCTTCCTCTTTTTCACTGACCCTCTATTTTAACAAGTATGATGTCCTTCTCCAGGGACTGATCCCTCCTGATAACATGTCCAAAGTATGTGAGACATAGTCTCGCCATCATTGCTTCTAAGGAGCATTCTAGATGTACTTCTTCCAAGACAGATTTGCTTGTTCTTTTGGCAGTCCGTGGTATGTTCAATACTCTTCACCAACACCACAATTCAAAGGCATCAGTTCTTCTTCATCCAGCTTTCACGTGTATATGAGGCAATTGAAAACACCATGCCTTGAGTCAGGCACACCTTTGTCTTCAAAGCGACATCTTTGCTTTTTAACACTTTAAAGAGGTCTTTTGCAGCAGATTTGCTCAGTGCCATGCATCTTTTGATCTCTTTCTTTTTTTTTTTTTTTAATTGTACTTTAAATGAAGATTTACAGAACAAATAGTTTCTTATTAAACAGTTAGTACACGTATTGTTTTATGACAATGGTTAACAACCCCACGACATGTCAACACTGTCCCTTCTCAACTGTGAGTTCCCTATTACCAGCTTTCCTGTCCCCTCCTGCCTTCTAGTCCTTGTCCCTGGACTGTTGTGCCCCATTAGTCTGGACATGTTTTGATTTCTTGACTGCTTCTTCCATAGGTGTTCATTGTCGATCCAGGTAAAATGAAATCCTTGACAACTTCAGTATTTTCTCCATTTATCATGATTTTGCTTATTGGTCCAACTCCAGTGAGGGAGTAAAATCTGTAAACTGATGTTAACTAGAAATTCAGGTGTGGATACCTAGGTTTCTTGGCATATAGGAATATGCAGGTAGGGACTGTTGGCAGTGCTTATGGCAGTGAGGGGACAGTTAATGAATTGAGGGGTAGTCCCGGTAATACCTGGCATAACCACCAAAAACCAAACCCGTTGCTGCCAGTCGATTCCGACTCATAACAACCCTATAGGACAGAGTAGAACTGCCCCAGAGTGTTTCCAAGGAGTGGCTGGTGGATTTAACTGCTGACCTTTTGGTTAGCAGCCAAACGCTGAGCCACTGTGCCACCAGGTTTTCACTACCTGGCATATAGATGTTTAATGAATATTTGTAAAGCTGAGAAGGTATGCAGAGGTCTTGGGGGAAGGGTTCCTGAAGAGCTGTAAATAAGATGCCTAGATATCTTTCAGGGAGAGAAGATGGAGGCAGCGACTAAGGGACCCCTGAGAGCTTGGGGATGTAGAGCCCAAGAAGGAGCCTTGCACCTCAATGGGAGTTGAAGCAAAGGCCTCAGTTTCTCTTACCCTGCACCACAGTCTCCTCCCTCTGAGTGAGCGTGGGCCCGAGGGCGAGGCATTGGCTGTTCTGAAGCCACAAGAGCCGTCAGTTCCTGCCAAACTCCCAGCTAGGCTTGAGGTGCTGTCTTACCCTAAGGCTGGACATAGGCCATGAAGCTGCTTCTCCATCTTGCCAGGCAGTGGTAGGGGAGGGTCCATAAGGTCCATGCCAGTGTGGCTTGACACTTGGACCTGGCTGAGTGCCCAGGGGCCCCCTGGCAGGCTGATGGCTAGGTCGAGGGTTGGACCAGGGGTCTGCTCAGGCCCTGAGGTGTGGGGGGGGGCCCTGGCTCCTCTCCTTTACGAATTTCTGGGTGGTATGGTACCCTGTGGACCCTGGCTCAGAGTGGGAGAGGCGGGGCCTGGCTCCGGAGCCCTGCTGTGGGCGCCTTCCCTGAGCCCTACATTGTCCTGTGGTGCATCCTGAGGTCGGTGCTGCCAGAGGATGTCTCAGCAATAGAGAGAGAGATGGAGCAGCTGGCCAAGGAGCTAAGGTAGAAGGGGATGACCCTGGGGTTCTCACAGGCCAACGTTGGGTTTGCCTTGGGGGCTCTTTTTGGATGAGTGCTTAGCCAAACAACCATGTGCTGCTTTGAGGCCCAGCAGCTCTGCCTACCAACATGTGGAAGCTGCGACCACTGCTGAGGATGTGGCCAAAGGAAGTGGACATCAGAACCGTCTGGGCTTAGGCAAAATAGAGACGATCTTGCCACAGGTTGGGAAAAGGAATCAGGCAAGCAGAGAGAGACAAATCGGAAACAACCTGGAGAAACTCTTCCTGCAGTGCCTGAAGCCCGCGCCTCAGCAAATGAGCCTCTTCGCAGGGCAACTTTAGCTAAAGAAGGACCTGGTCAGAGTTTGATTCTATAACTGAAGCAAAATGGACAGTTGGCGCATCAGTGACTCCTCCCCATGGAAGGATGTGGGGGCTTGTTGGGCCTCCTTTCTCAGGAGGACGAGTGTGCTTTCCCCTGGCACTGGAGGGCCATTTTGGTTTCCTCTACCAAGGGTGACCCTACTTCACAACCCTATATACTCTGCCCCTTTCTCTGAAGGGGGGACCCCTTCTCTCTGCCCAGACCACCATTTTGGGCCTCCCCATGCTTTCAAGCTGAGGGATCACCTTCCCTGGGAGTGTAAAGACGGGAGAGGTAAGGGAACTTGGGGAAACCAGTCTCTGGGATTTGTTTCAGGGTTTTTAGCATTAAATTCTTTTCACTGTCTAAAGAAGAAGTTAAAAATATGTAGAGGGTGGTAATGCAAGTTGTTGCGGGAAAATTTGGGAGGGAAGTTGAAGTTTATTGCTGCTTTGTGTTTTTCCCTGGCATTGATTTTAAGGTGCCTTAACAACACATAGATGATTTCGGTTGTTTGTTTCTCTGTTCACTGAAACTTAATTGTGTCGTTATACCTGGTAGTTATCAGCAAAAATAGAGTTTACTTCTTTTAATAGTTTTTTGAGCCAAGAATGCATGTATTAACTTCTGAGCAAAATTTGTTTAAAGACCCCATCATTTTTTTAATCTTTTTTTTTAATTGTACTTCAGGTAAAAGCTTACAGAACAAATAGTTTCTCATGAAACAGTAGTACACATATTGTTTTATGACAATGGTTAACAACCCCACAACATGTCAACCCTCTAACTTCTCAACCTTTTTTTTTTTTGGTGAAAATACACATAGTCAAAGATACACCATTTGCCTTATGACAGTGGTTAACAATCTCACAACACATCAACAATATTCTTACTCAACCTTGGGTTCCCTATCACCAGCTTCCTTGTCCCCCTCTGCCTTCTGGCCCTTGTCACTGGACTCCTGTACCTCGTTAGTCTCATTTGGTTTTACGG